AGCTTGTAGTACATACTTTAAAGTAGTTTAATACCTCACCTCTTATAATAAAGGCAGGATTGCCCAAAAAAAAAAAAAAAAAAACAATTTATTATACTAAATAACTTTATTTAAAAAAAATTTCTAGTTTACTTAATAAAAAATTAAGTTTTATATATTAAATATAAATAACTTGGTACAATATTTAAATATTGTAATACACATTAAAAATTCTAAAGCACCTGTATTACTAAAAATTTAAACACATACAGTAGTATAATATTATATTTATTTTATCTTACTTTTAAATCTAAAATAATTTTAAAATTAGTAAAGTGAATTATGCTAGAAAAAAACTAAAAAAGAGGTTTAAAATTAAAATAAGAGCAAATTTATTACTCATCCAAGGGTATTACTTACCCATATTATGATATATATCATCAAATTTTACTAATAACCCCTGTTGTATAACTAACAAAATGTTTCTCTCGCAATTTTACCCTAACCTTAACTCTACCTAACTCTACCCTAACGCAGTAATATGGCCGGGGTTTCATTTTGTACTTAAGGGGGAGCATCACGAACTTCGAAGGTCCATATATTTACTACGTATATGACAATAATATTATGATATACATTTATGTAAGTGTAAAGCCACTTAACAATTTATATAAATTTAAGTTTCTTTTTGTGTAGTCATAAATATTTGTGATATTATATAAATTCATATAAATTCATGTAATTTCTTACCTAGTAATTTTATAAAAAAAAGTTCGTGATGTGAGTAACTCACCCCGGTATTAATAAATTACTTCTTAAAATAAATTATTTTATATATAGTTATAATACTGTATTCTTTATGTATATATCTAAATATAAAATTTAGTGTAGTAATTGTTACGTATCACCACTTCGAAGATAAAAACGGGTTAAATTTTATTTTTTATTGTAAAATATTGCATTTTTAAAAATTATTTTTAAACTATAAAAATACAATAAGCCCAATCAAAAAAATATTATCATAGAATATCTTGTGGGCCTAACAGCTAAGTGTGGGCTCTATTCAAATCGTCAAATTTGGCTCATTCCGAACCCCAGGTATAAGTATCAAAACTGCTAAACATAAATATATCGATATAAAAATATAAATACAGTATACTGTAAAGCAAAAATCTTGAAATAGCATTAAACTAACGATTAAAAGTAAACAATAAATAATAATCTTCCAATTTTCCGATATTAGTATTATCACCCAGGGTGAAAATTAGTTATAATTGCTTTAATAAAAAGCAACAAATCTAGAAACTTTTGTTAATGCTTTTTTTGCTGCTTGGTACTTTTAATAACTAAAACCAAGATTTTTTAATTCTGCCCAAATAATTACAAAATTCCCATTCGGAGCAGCTCAATTCCAAACCGATTTTGGGGCAGTATTTTGAAACTTCGGTTGGGATCAAATTATAGTTTGCATTTGATGTTACGTAGCATTAGAGTCCACTTCTCAATATAGAAATATTTTTCGGATAAGAGAAATTAATTATTCAAATAAAAAAATCTAGTTTTTTGAATGAATAACAAAATAGATATTTTACATATTGTACTCATTGCATAAAGGATGATGACACGAGAGAAGATAATCTACGATAATTCTCTGACCCATCAAGGAGTTATGTTCCCGCGCAACAGGCGTAACCTGGTTACACATGTACCAAAGTCGATATATAAATGAGCTTTTTTAATTAGCACACCTCAGTTTTTATTTATACTTTTGCTGCGCACAAGTTTATTACAACGCTTTATCAACTTAGTGAAGATGGGAGTATCAATACTTGATTTCGATCCTGATGAATGCAATAGAGAAAACCCACCTTTAGAGGTTTTGATTGGCATTATTATCGCTTGTGGCATGTTGATAAGTTACTTACCTCAGGTAAGTTTTCTTTCACAAGTATTTAATTTTTTAAAAAACATTAAACAAATTAAAAGAATATTTATTGATTTGACCAATACAGCATTACAGAATTATTAGCAAAAAAACTAGTGAGGGGCTGAGCCCCTGGTTCCTTTTGTTGGGGACACTTTCTTCAACTTGCAGTTTTTTTAATATTTTCATTTTGCAGTTTCATATGGTCGAGTGTTGTAGTATCGTGGTATGTCTTCATTGCAATATCGAGTAATACAATTCTGACTCTTGCTTAATTTACTAATCGCATTTATTAAATGCATTATAGTCTGGTGTTCAATGCTTCGAAAACACGTTAGGGATCATTCAACTCGCTATTCAGTTTTCGATGTTTGCATTAATATTGACACTTTTCATGATATACTTCCCTCCTGAACGCAAAATTGCACCATATCTTCGTCATATACACTTTAATTCTCCGCCAACAAGTTGGTCGAACGATTGGCGTGATTCGGTCTGGATTTCCATTGGTGTAGTCTTACACTTAATTTTGACTGTTATTGTTTCAATATGGCTTTTAAATTTTGGTACTGCTGATAGTTATGAGCCTACTAAGTTCTGGGCAGATTGTTTGGGTGTCATATCTATGGTGTTTGCATCCGTTCAGTACTTTCCTCAAATACTTAGGACTTGGAGACGAAAAGTAAGGGTCATATATTGTTTATTTTACAAATGTAATATAAATACCTGATATTTATTAATTTATCTTTACATCAATATAGTCTGTAGGAGCACTTAGTATACCTATGATGCTTATACAAACTCCCGGTATATATTTTCATGTGCTTATTATTTTTATTTTTATTTATTCTAATTTTTAATTTTCGGATTTGCAATATTTGCTATCAACATAGGTTCATTTCTTTTTGTTTACTCTCTCGCCATTCGTCCTGGAACAAGGTGGACGACATGGTTTGTTTTCCTTGTTACTGGATGTCTTCAAGGCACCCTTCTTATTATGTGTATTTGCTGGCATTTCCGAGCCAAACGCCTCGGTTATGGACCATTCCACGTTGGAGATACAGATGCTGATGGTAAGCCGTTGGCGCCACATGAACAGACGAGATTGCTTGGTGAAGGGACCCATGGACACTCAACTACATCATCAAGGTATGATAACGCTGTACATGATGTAGAAAATTCTTAGTCCTTTCATTACTACTTGATTAGAATGTGACTGTATTATAGACTTTCACTTAGACTTTGAAGTAGGGCTTGTTTTATATATATATGTGTTTATAGGTTTAGGTGTTTATGTATTAATTAGACTATCATACAGTATAAGAATTGTAAGATATTCAAATTTTAGGAATTTTTTGTACTTGTATTGGGTATCAGGTTTATTTCAATGTTGTATTGTCGAAATAAAGTTTACCATAAATATATTTAACTCATTACATAGTGAGTTAGAATCGCTAAAGTTCAATATACTATCACTTTGTGAAAGAACGCTTGAGGCGATTTTACTACGATACGGACATTGAACTGGACTATTGGGGATTGGAATCGATCAAAAATTTTTGGTCGGCTAGTCAGTTGTCTAAGACTGCTGGTTATTGACTAACTAAAAGTCAACTAAATTCGATTAGTTGATTAATTGATTAAAGAATCCGGGAAAGAAGGAAAGTTCGAATGTGGGTGCTGGGGTTGTGCGAACCCAAAACAAGGGCAGGAGTACGTAACAACTAC